ATACGACTGCTCTCTACCTCCTTCCATTATAGTAAATCCTGCAGTTTAATTACTCTTAATCCTAATTCAAAGTACCCCCAGTAGCACATTAGAGCATACAGACTACGCAAATCATGGAAAAATACAGAAAAAGATAAGCAGAGAGTGACAGTCTGGAGAACTCACACACAGAGCATACTTGTGGGCCCAGGAAACTTGCACCAACGCTGTCATGGCTGTGGTCACAAACTTTTAAAAACTGGTTTCTGCTGACAGCAGGGAAAAATGAGTCTCTTCTTGCTGCCCGTATTTAGAAAATAAAGAAATCTACAGCATGTAATGCTGACAGTAGAGCACCCACCAACCCTTCTCATATCTCCTCTTTTTCCTCTTCCTATATGCTTTTTCTTTCTTCCTGGTATCTTTCCTTTCCATCATCCTCTTGCCCAACAACATAAGGATTTCTGCTAGTACAAGACTCCTGTAAGGACTGCTGCCTCTACAAGACAGGGAGAACAAGGCAAAGTTTATTAGTACACCCACACCAAAGCAATTCTGAGACAGTGCAGCACAATGTTGGGGACGAGGCAATTACTGAAACCCCATGATACACCCTCCCCCGCAAAGGAGAAAATCTTTGTGACAGTAAATATTTCTCACTCCTTGGGACTCTGGATATTTGGATCCCTTATCTTGGGCCTTCAGCTTGTTTGCTGAAATGTTAAATCTGGACGCTTAGGCTAGAGGCCACCTCTTGATTGCTCTCAATCCAAAGGCTGGAGCATTAGTGTGTGTTACTTGTGTGTGCATAGGTTTTCCACTGGAAAGAATCCTGACTTCGGGGTCAATTATACCCGATACATCTCTGCACAGAAGGTCTCCCCAACGAGTTTGCATCTGAAAAGGGGGCTTGATAATTCTTCGTCTCTGAAACTACAGTTTTAAACTTCAGTCTTTCCCACTCAAACACTTCCATCGCCACAGTGACTTCACTAGCAGACTTAAAATAGAACAAGAAATTGACACAAGTTTACTTGCTGGTACCAAATGGGAAATTTCCCAGCAACAAGGAGTTGAGAGAGACAAAAAGACTGCACAGTTGTCTCTAAAATCTATGCCACTAGATCTTTTCATGGCAAAGGACTATTTGGATGGTTCTAGGATTGCAGCTGGATGCTATATTTGCCTGAAATCAGCAACTCCAAACACTCTACAGTTACTTCAAAGAAAGGTAAGCAAAAGGCAATATAAACTGCTTGGTTTCAAGACAGGTTTCTTCAAAGAAAGAGCAAAGGACCAAAAATGGCAGGAATCACTGGAAATGGTCACACACAAAAGCTCTGCTCCAGAAGAGCCTGTCACAGGCCAGATGGGTCCCTGACAATCAAGCCACACATTTCACAGTTACCTGCTTCTCAGATACAGGGTATGATTGCAACAATCATGATATACCAGTGGTTTCTGGAGGATGAGGGGCAGGTCTAAGAGGTAAGTAAAGAACTAGAGGCCACTTGGTTAGAGAAAAAAAAACAGCCTGGCAGGAAATCAAAGGCAAAAATGATGAGAAACTGTAGAAATGAGTTAGTGTCCCTACTGAGGTATGGAACCTGGAAACCCCAGACAGGGCCACTGAAAGTCCTTTATTTGCTCACTGAGCAGAGGTACTTCTCCTATTCAAAGGGGGAAACACCTACTATACTTCTTTTACATAGTTTATATATGTGAAAGTACCTGGGCAAGAGTTGAGAAACTCCCCTTCCTTCACCATTCTCCCCTGAGATGGAGTTTAAGTCCAGCAGCCAAGAAAGAGGAGATCCTGGTCTCCACACTTTGTTCAGACACCAAAATCTGGACTCATACAAACCAAACGATCAAAGCTTTCACAATCTACAAGCAAACTGGGGCACAGCTATAAAGGGTGAACGATTTGAGACTAACACTCAAACACACCAGGAAAGAGTCATAAAAAGACCCTTGTTGCAGTTCCAGTATCCTTCTTAACAGCTGCCTCACAGCGTATGACAAAGAGTTGCAGCCCCTTCCACTATTCCATCAGTGCAGAAGAAAAACCTTTTATTTCTACCTTTTTCTTTTCCCCAAGGAACTTCAAAACAAAAGATAAATGTTGTTCTTTACTGCTTCTTTATGACAAAGCGTGCCTTGATGTTAGTTTATATATCAGAAACTCCGCTCTGATTTCCTCCTTTTTGGAGGATATGAATGGGGAGGTTACATAAGGGTGTAACAGGAGCTGTTACTTCCTCTCCCAGTTGAAGAGAAAAAGCTGTGGATCAGGTTACAGACTCAAGGGCTGACCATCACCACTGCAGCCTTCCTCTATTCTGTGCCAGTATTCCCCCAGCAAACAGGAGAAGCTGCTCAGAAGGCTGTGAGAATGTAAAATAACTAAGTAAATCGCTATTAGGGAGGAAAAAAAAGCCTTTCTTTTTGTCTTTCATCAAACTCAGGAAATTCCCCAGGCTTGACGCACACCATCACTCAAGTCACCATTTTCCATTTCAGTTTGTTCTTCATTAGCACGGTAAGAACGATAAAAGAAATGTAAGGTAAGATTTATACGGTGGTCTGACACGTTAGCTGCACTTAAATACCCTTAGCAGACTGACAGAGCACTTAACTTTGGCGGGTATGTTAGCGCTTGTCCCAGCTCTGACCACATAGGGCAAGTGAAAGGAGGAAACGCAGCGTCCAGATTGGCCTACACAAGCACTAAGCTGTTCTCCAAATGATCCCACTTGTGCTTTCTTCACCTTCCTCCCAGATTCCCAAGCCACTGCTAGTACTGCTGCCGCCAAAGGAAGATGAGATCAAACTCCAACACAAGGAATTTCTGTTCCCACAGAGCTCAGAGAAACCAGATGATCTCAGAGGATCATGTGAAGCAAGTCCATGACACTTCCATGAGGCAGAGCATCTCCAGTACATTGCCAGCAGTTTCTTAAGAGTCTACAGTGGGAAAAATTAATGGCTTTGCTTATTTTCCAATTTCTCTCTCCCACTTCCTCCTCTCATTTGCCAGACTTTTATTTTCCCTTCCCCCATTAGCACCAGTAGGCTTGCAATGTACATTTCCCTTCCAAGGGGAATCACATCTAGTCTTGCACAACTTTTGAGAGGGCCAACACACACAGCTAAACTAAACTACTTGTCCTCTGGCATTGTTTCCTCAGAGATCCTCCCCACAGACACAATTTAACAGGCCTCTTACAAAAAAGGAAAGAATAAAAGGCAAGTTTCTGTGATCTAAGATGCTTTTGGGAGTTCTTTCATCTCCACCTTTCTGAGCACTCAGTTTGCAGTGCCCACATGAAGCTTTTAAGATGTACATAAAATACACCCCCTAACCCCACGTAGGTGTTTTCAGAAACATCTTCTTTCCTAAGGACAGGAGGGAACTTGTGGTAAACTAACATGCCAGTAAGTGCCACATGAGGGTAAACGCTGACACGAGTGGTGACCACTGTATGTTATTCTGGAAATAACGGGAATGCTCCAACCATTACACCTTCACACAGAATCAAGGCAGAGGCAGTGCACTGCTTTAAGCACTAAATTAGAGACACTCTCAGACTCAAGCATGGGACAACTGGAAACAAAAACATATGAAGAGAAGAACACCGTTACCTTTAATACGCTTAAAAGCAGCCAAGCCCTGAACTCTACTTTAACAGATGGGTCAGACTATTTCTGTTCCCTCACACTGCGTGCTTTTGGGGAAAGCCTTGTTTTTGACACAGGGCTTGACAAAGTGATGATTCATCCAGGATGGGCAGCTTGTTGCCAGCCTTAATTCACAATTAACAATAGGACAGCCGGATATGGGAAACTCATGATTCAACACAAAAATTGCAAAGTCAGCCGTTTTTCCTGACCTTTACACATTTTCCAGTGGTAATTTCTGATCGGGATATGTTTTAATTAGTTTCTCCAACATAACAGTAGTTATCCTTTATTTCATTAACATTATGCTTGTCCTTTAGGATGGCGGTCCAGGTTAAATACATAGCAGTTGATGTAATCACACTCTCTGAAACTGCAAATGTTTCGATTACTCAAAAAAACAAACAGCACGTGTGTGCACGGAGGTTCGAGCACATAGGTACCATGGGCAAGAGAAATGCACGCTGCACCTATATGCACTTTGTGACAGTACCACCCGCCCCGCTGCCTGTGGCCCTGCCGGGATGGCCATTGTGTTGCACAGGGAGTCTGGCCGCTGCGAGGAACAAAGGGATGCCCTTCCCAAAACACAGCGGCAGCAGATGTCCTGCACCGAATCCCGGCAGCCTCAGCCTCCCTAAGTGCACACAGACGGTCTTACTTCGGAGGCTACAGCAAGTGTCCCCTCAGGGAAGCTCTCTGGGACAACGACCCTGCCCTGGAAAGCCCTTCCTCAAGTCTCTCCTCCCAGAGTTACTCGACGGCAGAATTCACCATCCTGCTCCGAGCTACCAGCATTCTTCCCACGGTCCTCCCCTCTCCCCATACCCGAGCCCGCACTTTTGAATTAAGCAAAGCCGCGCACACACGGTAATTATTTCAGACAAGAAGAAACAGATGCCACAGTCCCTTTCTTTCCAGAAAAAGCATGCACACACACACACATCCTTGTTTTAAAGGGTAAGATCCGGACCATCTCCGCGTGTGTGCACACCAGCATTCATGCCTACAATAAGACGCCTAGAGCCCACAGCCATTCAGCAGATGCTAAGCGAAGCCACAGCGCCCGTACATCGTCCCAAAGCCGCAGTTTGTCCCGGGAAGGGGCGCCCAGAACGCGCCGGGGTTCCCGTGCTCGGCACCAGCACTCCGGCACCACCGCCCCTAACTGCAAAGGACGCGGCGCCGAACCCCCGTTAACCCAAGAGCTCTGCAGCACCGACACCGACCCACCCCCCGGGTCCCGTCCCGCTCCGCAGCCCCGCAACCCGCCGGACCCGCCGGACAAAGGGGCCCGGTCCGACGATGCGGGCAAGGGGTGGGTGCCGGGGGAGCCATACCTGTGCCGCCCAAGGGCGCTGCCCGCCGTGCCGAGGCAGCCGCCTCCCGCCCCGATCCGCCGGCAGACGCTGCCCTGTCGAGGCGGCGAGGAGCGGGGCACAGCCCCGGCCCCTCCCCGCCGCACACGGCAGGGGCGGAGGCGCCGCCGCCAGCCCCGGACCCGGTCCCGGACCCGGCTCCGCAGCGCCGCCCGGCGGGCCCCGCTCCCTGCGCCCGGGGCTGCCCGGGCTCCCCTGGGTGGAGCCCAGCCCCGCAGTCCTGCCCGGTGCCAGTGCCGGTCCCCTCCACGCATAGTCCTCCCGTCCCGTGAGCTGTGAGGGATTCTTACCCCCCTCCCCGTGCGGCTTAACACGGTGTTAATCTTACCGCCTGCACACTTCACCCTCAGCCTTCAGAAACTAACCAAAGAAAAGAAACTGACCCAAGTAACGAGTGATAGGGCAAGAGGAAACGGCCTCGAGCTGCACCAGGGGAGGTTTAGATTGGATACTAGGAACAATTTCTTCACAGGAAGGATGATCAGGCATCGGAACAGGCTGCCCAGGAAAGCGGTGAAATCTCTGTCCCTGGAAGTGTTCAAAACCGTGTAGCCGTTAGTGACATGCTTTGGTGGTAGACTGGGCAGTCTGGGGTAATGGTTGGACTTGATGATCTTAAAGGTCTTTTCCAACCTAGCTGATTCTATGATTCTACTTCTAACATCCCCAGCCGGATTCCTGCAAGGTCGTTTTCAGCACCTCCTGAAAACATGCCAGCATTTTAAATGTAAGCACCCAAAAGTATTTACAGCAGGGTAACGCATCTTATCTGCCCAGCCCTGCCCCTGATAAGCACATAAACCATCAACAGTGTAGGTCGACTGCCCCATTGTGTAAAGAGAGGGAAAGAAAGGAAAAGCCCTAAGGGCTGTGTTCATACTGTGTGGCCATTCTCTGGCTTGAAACCGGGTCTGTGGGCAAGTAAGCAGAGGTTTCTCCCCAGCCCCCAAAACCTCCCCAGTTGAGACAGGGCAGTATTTAGGTTTACAGACCACACTCACACAGCAAAATACCCCCCATGAAGAGTTTCACCGCATGTGCTTTTTCCTAATAAGCCAACTTCCATGTTACCTCATTGTTATTTTTTTCATGTTTGAAAGTAGGCTCTTTTCAAGCTGGGTTGTTTTTAAACAACAAGAAGCTTCAACTCAACTACAAGCTAACCCCGTGTTGGACAGGTAACAGCAAAGAGGATCTCAGCTGCACACACACCAGAACCCTGCACAGTATGTGGAAGAAATGCAGCATACATCACCAGGTTCAATATGATCAGAAACACGCAGTGAAGATGCAAAATGCATTTTTAAAGCCCTTCTTGTTAAAACACGTTAGTTATTTCATAGTGAGTACTGATTCATAACTCATCACTATTTTATTACCTGGAAATCAGCTCCTAAGATTTGTCTCACCCTCTCATTCTTAATCTGTAAAAATGACTACTTTCACCAGAAGTGGTCAAAAACTGCTTCAACAAAATACTTTCCTCACTGAAAAATTTAAGGCTTGGTTAAAACTCCGAAACAGTGATAGTGTGATGCAGGTATTCTCAGGAAGGTAATTTAGGTTTGGGGTGGTCTGGAAGAGGCAAGAGCCATTCCTGAGCAGCACCATGACTCCATCCTTTTGCCCTGTTCTTCATTCAGGTTAATGTCACTTTGCTCGTGACTTTGCTTGCTGTTCTGCGACTTAGTTATTGCATTCTTTCCCAATTAATGAAGGGGGAAAAGTACTTTATTTTTACTCCTTATCTAAATGAAAACTAAATTCAGGTTTTTGTAAGGAAAGTAGTCACTGCCCAGCCAATGCTATTTACCAAAACTGCACCCAGAACATTCAGTAGCATCACAAGGCAGTCACTGCAAACATTGCACAAAGTATCTATTTCAACTTTACACATGAAAATTATCAAAACTTTTTGCATTGTTATGAAAACACAACATCTTCTACCTCAGAAGTTAAAATTCCCCATTTCATCCAAAGGGAAGCATCAGCACAGGACAAAAGCAGTGTAGCTTTCCTGCCACAGTCTTACTGCTGTGGTTCAAAAGGGTTAATGGTGGTTACTTCTCAGCCACACTCTTTGTGCCTCTTTGCTGCTTAGATTCCTGTAAATAACAATGTCCATCTGTAATAGGTGGTGGTATTTGGTAGCATTTATAACATGGATAATAATTAGCATCCTTGTGAAGGTGCCTTGTCCTCCAGGAAACAAACCAAAACTATCCAGAGTTCTCTAGTCTTCCAGCACTCTGTTCCCACTTTGTTTCATCTCTGTGTGAAAGAAGATAACCTCATCACCCATCCTTATTCTGAGGCAGTTTTACATTCTTGTGAATGTGAATTAGAAGCCTATCACTGGAGCACCTCCCATACAAAGACAGCCTGAGAGAGCTGGACTTGTCCAGCCTGAAGAAGAGAAGGCTCCAGGGAGACCTTATTGTTGCATCCCACTACCCAAAGGGGGCCTAACAAGAAATCTGGAGAGGAACATTTTACAAGGCATGTAGGGGTAGGATGGGGTGCAATGGTTTTAAACTGAAGGAAGGGTGATTTAAGTTAGATACAAGGAAGAAATTCTTCCCTGTGAGGGTGGAGAGGCACTGGAAAAGGCTGCCCAGAGAAGCTGTGTCTGCCCCATCCCTGGCAGTGTTCAAGGCCAGGCTGGACAAGGCTTGGAGCAACCTGAGCTAGTGGAAGGTGTCCCTTCCCATGGCAGGGGGTTTAAGGTCCTTTCCAACCCAAACCATTCTATGATTCTTTTTACTACATCTACTGGACTACCATAATTACTACTGGCACAAATCTGCAGTAAACGTAAAAAAAAAAAAAACAAATTTAAAATAACCTAAAAGATGTACAGGCAGATACCAAGAATGCTTTTCTTCTGGAAATATCACATTTCTTAAAGCCAAATGGTGTATCGGCATATAAGTGATCAGGGATGATCAGTATTCAACACACATTCAGGTCTCTTTTGAACATCAGTTAACCTAGAGGATATTTAAGAGGAATTTCCAACTACTGAACCATTAAGCGTGTTTTCTTAGCACACACATACGTCATTCTGAAAGGGCAGAGGCTTCATTTGGCAAGAGCCTAGAGCAATTTCAGAGAGAAAATGGGAATGTGGCTGCATCCCTGTTTCGCAGCTCCCAAATCACGGCCGCGCCAGAAGCTGTGGCAGACATCTGTGTCCATCAGAGCAGTTTAGGAACTGCTTATTTACAGACAACCTCTTTTTATTTTCCTTTTCTTCTTTTGGACATTTCCACAGGGTGGACACTACCCTTTCTTGATTACAGCCTACAGCTTCACAAGCCAAGCAAGTCAGACACAAACCCAACTGTAAAACCAGCTGTTGCTAAGACTGTAAGGGCAAAACTGTGGCATTTCATGGTCCCATTTAGATTGACAACCCACAAGTCAAACACAAAACAGCCCTTGCATTTGTCTATGACAGTCCCTGGCAATTAGAAGAGCACTAGTTAATGTCTAAAAGTACCTCCTAGCCAAGCTTGCCTAGAAAAGCAGGCAAAGAACAGCTGAGCCAGGCACTTCAGAGGGCAAAACCAGAACTACTATGAGCCATAATTTGTACTGCCTGTCAGGAACTGCAGCAAGGCAGGATAGTAATCTAGTCTCAGTTGTGTCCATGGCTCTAGGATGAAGTAGCTCACTAGAAATACAGAAATATCTGACATTATTAGATAAAATTGGATGAGAGAGAGAAGCACTCTCAAATGAATTTAGTTGGTTAAATTTAAATGCCGTAATTAAAAAATCAATACTTGAGACAAATATTCTTATCTATAACTTAAAATTAGTTTTCAACAGTTAAAAAAAAAAAAAGAGAGAGAGAAAACAAAATAAAACCAATCCTTGTTTTTCTTAATATTTCTTTCAGCCAGCAAAGATAGTTACTGATTGATGTGACCTATTATTTCATCTTGTTTGGGTATACAATTCTCATATATGGAGAGACGAACCAAGTGAGTTCAAATTATTCCTATTTGTAAATGAGGAAACTGAGTCACCAAGCAAAAATAAAATAAAATAATAAAATAAAATTAAATTAAAATAAATAAATTAAAAATAAAAATAAAAATAAAAATAAAAATAAAATAAATACAGCAGTTCCTTCACAGAGCTGAAAACACAATTTAGATGTTCACGTTCCTAATCTCATACTTAGCTGCCAGTCCAAGCTTAGCCATTTTTCCTACACCCAGGAAAAAGTGAGAAAATTCCATGCCCTCTGAATATGTTGCAGCTATACCTCTGTTCTAAATCAGTGGGACTGGGTGCATATCAGAAGTTATGGGAATACCCCTTACAGTAGCTGTAATACTTTTCCATTTCAAGCAAAAAAAACCCAGTACTCGTAACACCACCACAGATAACCTTGCTCTAAGACCAAGCACAGGGATTTAAAAATAGTGTCTGGCTTATTTGTCGTGGAAAATGGCTACAGGTTTGAACTCTATCTGCACCCAAGTGAATGATTCAACAAGCAAGCTGCCATTGGTCCAGCGAATTCCAGTTTTGTGACTGGAAAACCAGAAAGCAAAGACTGTACATGAACACAGCTCATCCTTCACCCACCTGTGGCAAATTAAACTGCATATAAGTTATAATGAACACGCAGTGGCTCTGTACAGCCTCTTGCTGGAATGCTCCTCAAGTGTTTTGGAACGCATAGATTAAATTCAGTACTGAGATCATCTGCTTTCTCCAGTGGTGGATCTTACACAGGATTTATATTCCCACCTGTCAAAACACTGTCAGCTTTCCATTTTGCCATAATGTCTCCTCACTGTGCCAAATAGGGACTTTCCCTTTTTACCCAGGCACAGCAATATGCCTTCAGTTAGCACGATATTTTTATCCTTTGCAGCAAAGACCTGCATAAGACAGCCTGAGGGTCTAGACCCAGAATTCAAGAGGAGAGGTCACCCATGGGAGATTTCACCCTGTGTGTTGGCATTAAGCACAGGACAGGATTTGAGAAGCAGCATTCACTTTCTTTCTGTCTGATTCAGGCTTGACATCAGTTTGGTGCATGATGCAAGCTATCAG